TCTGGCGATCCTTCCACCTCAGCCTTCCGAGTAGCTGGAACCACAGGCGCGCGCTACCACGCCCGGCTAATTTTTTGATTTATTGTAGAGATGAGGTCTCGCCCGCCTAGGCAGGTCTCGAACCCGCAGGCTCAGGCCATCCACTCACCTCAGCCTCCCACAGGCGTGGGATGACAGGCTGAGCCACCGAGCCTGGCCAACACTGGCCTTTCAATGCAGCATCTTCTGTTCTGAGTGACCCAGTTATGCACAGAGGGGCTTCCAGTACAGAGAAGGGAGACAAAAGCCCTTCCAGGCAAAACTGCCTCCATATGGGACATGGGTTATGGGGTTACCACGGTCATGCACAGAGGGGCTTCCATTTTCTGTAGATGGGGACCATCTCACCGATGTCACTGTTCCTCCATGATAGGTGAGTGTTTTGCTCTTTGTCTCTGTGCTGTTGCCTTATGTTTGGCCATAGATGCCACAAAAGATAATTAATCTATCTGGCTAGCCACGAGTGGCTGCATCCTACAGTGTGGAAATCACGGACCTGACTAAAATAGTGTCCAACCCCAGACACAGCAGACCCCCACACAAGGCTGTGGCTACCTGGTGGCAAGAAGAGGGTATGAGTGAACGGGGCTGAGCCAGGCTTCCTTCTGGCGTGGCATGCTGTCGTAGATCAGAAGGTCTCTCTCAGTCAGCACCACCAGGGCTGGTTTCCACTGCTTCTCACTCTCCCCTGACACCTGGAACAGAAAGCAGAGAGCTGTCAAACAATGGCCTGAGTTGGGGTGACTGGAAAAGAGAGGCTGGCACCCTCAGTCAGAAGCCTCAGCCTCAGGGGGCGTCTTTTGGTTCAGGTTCCAAAATCAAACAGAGGGAACCCCCCCATGATGCCACGATTCTTGCTCCTTGAAGACAGCGGTTGTCTCAGGGCCCTGGAATGTACCGTCAGGGCAACCACGAAGCAGCCCACTGTCACAAGGGTGGTCACTGCTTCTCACCTGAGGCCAGCAACGAAGCTTTATCTCACGGTGGGAGGCAGCTCTGGTACGGCATGCTTGTTTTTATGACAAAGTGGTAGAGTCTGAGGGTTTTCGAACAGATATTCCAAAACTCTGAAAAATATGCTATGGAGGCAAATGTCCACTAGGACAGGCTGAGACGTCACAGCCTCTTTCTCTTGTCTTTTGCTCTCAGCCGATTCTATCATTCAGGCTCCGTCTTGACTTTTCTCTTGTTCCGTTGACTATTCGGTCCGTTCACCACAAATAATTCTCTAACTTAAGGGCTGAGACAAGTCGGGAGGGATGTGGAAGCGTTCAAGTATCAGCAGGGTGACTGGACCAGACGACTCTTTGAAGAACCTTAATCTAGAGAATCTGTGTGACTCAGGTCTGATTTCATGAGCCATTCTGCTTGGCCCGGTGTTGACAACCAAATGTTCTTTCATTTATAAAAATGCTCTCCTTCTGGTTTGAGCTCTGGTTTGGAAAAACCCAGTCTTGCTACTCCAGACACAGACAACGCTCCAGGAGCTGAATGCTGGGAGCTTGTGAGAAATGCAGAGTCTCAGGCCCACCAGATCTGCTGAATCAGACTCTGCATTTTAACAACACCTTCAAGGAATTCATAGTCTCACTCAAGATTAAGAAGCACGGCGTTAGTTAAGGAAAAGATTGCCTTTGACACTGGTGACTAACTCAGTGAAGACTCAACCCACTCATAACAAGCTGCGATGCAACACGCATTCAGAATTAAAGTAAGTTAGACGGCTAGCTAAATAAATGAAAAGGCTAATTTTCCACTTTCTGTTCTCACCATCGCTTTACGTGGCTCAGCGGAATCCGTGTTGAGGTGGAAACGTGTGTGTGGCTTTTGTTTTACACGAATACCCCATACCAGCATAGCAGGAACGGACGAGCAAAGCAGAGAGAGGTGTGGGATGACCAGAGGCTTGAGTTTCGTAGGCTGCTTCTACATGGAGGCTGCCTGGGTCTGCGTCCCAGCTCTGCTGCTTATTGCCTGCGTGTCTCTGGACAAGCGGTTATCTCTGTGCTTCCATTTCCTTACTGATAAGGATGGCAGAACATACCACAGTGCTTACAAGCACTGCCTGGGGAGCCAGAACACCTGAACACAAATCTGTGTCGCCTCATGTACTACTGTGGGGTTTTGGGCGAGGCGACTTCTCTGTCTCTCAGTTTCTATCTCTGTACCCAGGGACATAACAGACAGACAACCTCGCGCAGAGGGTCGTGGTGAAGGTTAAATACGTTCAAACGTGTAGAATGCTTAGTGAGCGCGGGATAAGCATCATGTAAGCACCTGCTAAGCAGCCCTTGCCTCACAGTGCCTGGTAGAATTAAACGGGACAGAGCATGCTCAGTGCCTGGCACGGAAGCGCAGGAAAGCTTGGGGTGGGAAAACCGTGGCAGGCTCATCATGTTTTAAGCATGCCAAAAAAGGTGTCCTTTGGAAACGACATTTAGGACCAAGCCAAGGATGCCTTCAGTACCTTCTCCTCCCGTCCTTTCCAAAGTTCTCTCAGGAAGAACTCATTGCAGGATGCTCACCTTTATCTTTTAATGCAATTCCAAACAACAATAATTCCACACAAAAACTCCCTTTCCAGAGGAGAAATCCCTTCCTCTGCTGCAAGGTTATTTATATTAGAATGTGAACGACTGTCTAACATAGCTCCTTTTTACACATTTTATGCGTATTTAAAAAAATCTAACTTTTGTTTTTGTAGTAAGACTTTTCCCCAACAGAATAACAGCAACTGTAAGAGATCAAAACAAGTTGCTAGAGAAGGCAATGCACCAGACCCTACAAGGTGAATAAGCTACAGTTTCAGGGCATAAAGAATTTGGGGGGTTCAGAATAAATTTTTTTCCAGCTTCTACATTAAACTTAGTAAACTACTTTTTCAGCTCATTAAAGAGGACTGAAGAAGCCACAAATGATTCTCCCAAAATGTTTCTCTGATTTACCTAGTCCAATCTGATCCATTCACTTGGACCAGAACCAGTCATTTAAATGTGAACACCGCCAAGCATCAGTTTTCAAAACCAATACTAAGCTTACAGAATTAGCCTCAACAGTAAAATTCAGGCCTCTCTGCTGATGGAATCACAAACCCACCCACATGCCAAGCGGTACACGCATGTTTAGGTCATTCCAAAGTCCTAAAACACACGCAGCTTATTGGAGGGCCCTGTGTGCATGTGGTAAACTGTCGTGCGAACACTTGGGGGGGCATTTCCTACCACTCCTGTGTGCGGAGCTGTTGTTTTAACACTGCGTGAATATTTGAGGGTAGAAAGCTGCCCGTCAGGACAGTGACTTTCCAAGGAAAAAAATTTCACATCCAAGAACAGGGTTTTTAAAACCGTACCTTCTGCTACATCACGCCTCATTATTTCAAGCCTTTGAAGAACAAACAGGCTTGAGTATTTGTACTGTTGTTCTAGTGACAACTTCCATTACGAATCCAGCTTTCCTGGCACCCAAAGATATTCCAGTGTGAATACAACAGTTCTGAGGATGGGCCTGCATTTTATTAAAACACGACCTGGGCCCAATGTGATTTCCCTCTGCCATCTTCCCTGCCTTGGCTGTGGTAGCTGGCAGTTTCCCAAGCATGGACCGTGTTTCTAATGCAGAAGGTGAAGGAAACAGGGAAACGTTCAATTCTGAGATTATTCCGAGCACACCTTTGGTGAGCTGAATTCTGTCGCCGTATTCACTTCCACAGAGCATGAGGGGAAAGGTTCACAGAATGGCAAGAAGGTGTCTGGTGGGAGCTGCTGGTAAGCGCTGTGGCAAGCAGAATCATCACGCCCTTCACTGGAGACAGGTGTCCCGGGTCATCTAGCTCAGTGGCTTCCAAGCTCTTTCGACACGCCAAGCCCTCTGTTCAGACTAGACCACAGGTCACAGAACAATCTGTAAAACACGTTTTACAGGAAGAGAGATGGTGTGGGGCGCCTCCTGGTGGAAATCCTGGCCCTCCGTGACCCTGTCCCTCTTAGTGTCACCCACGCCTCGAGCAGGGTTGCCAGCCATCCCTGGAATACGGACTGAAAAGTGGTCTGTCTCCTCTAGAGTGCCTAGAATCTTCACATTATTTCCAAAGAGAGTTTTACTAAAACCTTTTGGTGCCTTTTGGTTAATTCTTCCAAAGCAAACAACACTGTTGCCTCTTAGGCATGGCTGCAAGGATTAAATGAATCACCACACACAGAGGGCTTAGAAAAGTGTCTTGCACACAGTAGGCAGGCAAGTCTTAAAAAAAAAAAAAAAAAAAAACTACTTTTAACCACTTCCTTTAGGTAAGGATAGCAGATATCAGGTTAAAGATCTGAGTGCACGCAGACAAGAAGTATGTCCTCATCGGCCAAATGGCTGGGTGGGACTAAATTGTTGCTAAGGCCTCTCTGACTTCAAAATCCCACGCTCTTCTCAAGTGCAAAACTCCCTGCTACTGGGCTGGGGCTGCTACTTCATGACTCTGCTCGCAGGGCAAAAAGCAACACGGGGGCGAGGGGGCTCATTTCCTTCCCTCATGCCAGCTGGCCCTTCAAAACACGTCTTTTCTGCCTTCTTCTTGAGCCCGGTGGCAGGAACAGCTCATCGTCTTCAGCGCCAAACAGCGTGTCCGCAGATGTGGCTTTGCCACTTCCCGGCAGAGGGACGCGAGCAGGCGACTGAACTGCCCCGAGCCCCTGGTCACAGCTGCGCAAGATGCTGGCCGTGGCCTCCCAAGCACACTTTGTGAGGAGGACGTGCGACCATGTCCAGGCAGCGCTTTCTGCGTGGGGCAGACCTGACAGACGCCCAGCCCTCCCCGGCCAGCTGGAGCACTCTTCCCCCCAGCTTGGCTGGGCGGGGGAAGGTCCAAATGCAGGGAGCGACTGGCCCAGGCAGGAAGGCCCACAGCAGCGTCTGTACTGGAGAGCGTGGCCGGCTGCCGCCCGCGTTTTAGACTAAGCCCGCTTCACCTCAGGTCTCTGGGTGTTCGGACCAAGGACAAGATGTCTGCGCAATGACCACGTCTATCAACTTCCACGTGCTTGACAAACATGAGGTAAGTAATTCCCGCACCAACTCTCAGGCAGGCAGATGAGACGCATCTCCGCTTAACCAAGAGAAGCCTTAAGAGAGGCTGCAGCCAGGTGCGGCCACGGGGACACGAGGAGTGCACTGAGCCAGGAGGCTCAGACCTGCGGCTCTTCTGGCTTTCGCGGCACACTCCAGGACCAGGAATCAGGAGCCTGACGAGACCCCGATCACTGAGTGCCAAGGAGGGTGCAAAGGAAGAGAAGGCAAGGAGGCGAGGAAGGAGGCAGAGAAAGAAGCCCCAGAACAGGCCGCGGGGGCAGGTCTCTCGCCCAGTTCTCAGGTGGTCTGGCCCTGGGTCACCTGCTGAGCTCAAGGGCGGCGTAAAGAGGAGAGCGAGTGGGGCACCCCCTGTCGGATGATGTTAAGGTGATGAGACGTCACGAAGAAGAAGCGGGGGATGAAGAAATGGGCCAACCATGGGATGCTAAGAGGGCGTCCCTTTTGCATGCCAGCTCTCCCAGATCCTGCCGCAGCTTGCTCCTTCTGCCAAATTCCGAAACTTGCTCTGGATGTGCAGAAGCCAAGTCCCAGCACTAGTTCACCTCTGGAGCATTCCTCAGAGTCCACACACAGCATGGCAAGGCCTCGGTGCTCGGATGACAGGCAGTCACTTCGGTGT